TGTACAATGATCCCGTACGCTTATGAGTTTTCACACGAACAATGGTGAGGTGACAATAGTGAATTGGGTGGTGCTGATGGTGGTGAAGTGGGGGTGGGGATGGAGGTAGGTTGAGTTAAATATTTTGTGACAGTGGTAATATTGGTGAATAATGCTGAACAAACAGGAAAAAGAGACTAATATGACAGCCCATGATTGAGTGTTTTTATGATTTTTTCCCATTCTCCAATGAAAAATCGTCAAGTGTAATATAGAAATAATTTTCTGTCAATGACTCTGGTCATGTAGCATGATTGAGTATTGGTGTTAGTGGTGTTGGTAGTGATAATGGTGTCTATTGTGATGGGATGGATTGGTGTAGGATAGAGAGTAACTGTGTTCAATTATTAGGTATATATGATAAATAAAATCAGTAATTTGTGACTAATGTATAATAGGTGACCTAAAAATATGCGTTCTGTGACTAAATTTGTAGCCTGGGCCTATAATTTGAGCCTTTGTGACTGATAAAATAAATTCTGACCAATTAATTTTGATTTGTAATCGATAAATAATTTGTTACCTATAAAGACGTGTAATTTGCATCTAAATTTCTAATTGTGATCTACAATTGTATAATTGTGAATGTGACCTTGTGTGGTTTGTTACTTACATGTGAACATGACCACAAATTAGATATTATTATGACTGTAACCTATTTAATTAAATTATATAAGTCACATAAGTCAGAGAAATGTGACAAGAAAAAAATTATGAAATTATCGAAAGAGAGAAAGTGTGAGGTGTGTGTGTGAGAGAGAGAGAGAAACATAATTATTACATAATATACATTAGAGAGAGAAGACGTGTGAGGTAAGAGGGAGAATGAAAAAAATGTGAAGTGTAAGAGATATTTAGGTGAGTCACGAGGTATTTTATTGTAAGAGAGGAAAAATATGAGGAAAGAAAAATGTGATGTTATATATTAATGATATATATGCTATATATTAGGATGTGATAATTTATCAAATTATCTTAAGTTAAAGTATAGATTTTCTAAATTTCAGTTAGAAGATAATATATAATATTATTATTTAGCACATGATTTATGAAAATTTTTATGAGTTTGTTAAATATGAAATTTATTGTAAAATAATGAGATAATTATTGATGATTATTTAGTACTATGATGATACATTGATAAGTTTTATCTAATCTAGAAGATTTATTTCATTTCAATTGTAACTCTTATTTTGGATCCTATAAATATAGGGCATTGATTCTTAATAATACGCACAAGTCTATTATATTTTTCCCAAAAATTATTCCACTGGTCCAAGTGGTCCTAGTCATGAAACGAGTCTCATGAGCATGCTCATTTAACAAACGCGCCACCTTTGGCCCGACTTCTTAATGCCAACCGACCCAATTGACGAAAAGTAAAGAATGTTAAGAATAAACGCGTAGTTTGAACACTTATCCCTAATGGGCGATACTTTATAATGCTGAAAAATGATTGTCAATTTGATTGAACAATTCTCCCAGTATTAGGGGGAATTAAGAAGTCAAAAATAATGTAGAAGTGCATCATCATCTAAATAGTCGTAAAAGATCACTTGAACTAGAAGTTCGAAAGTTAATTTATTTAGATACACTTACTGACCAAAAAGATTAATATATTATGCACAAATTTTACATGCTCCAATACGAATTGATGTCCTATGAGGACAATTTGTTAGCATTATATTTGATATATATATTATATGTATGAAGCGTGATGGTGTTCGATTATAATACAAAAAAATTTCAAATGAAAATGGGGCAATTAGCAAAGATGGTCTGATAAAGGAGGCATATACTTTTGATGAGTATTTAACATAACAAATTATAAAACCTCAGAAGAGGTCCAGGTACACGAAACTTGAGATATCTCAATAAGTTATATCATTATAGGAAAACAATAGAATTGAAAAGAAAAACTTGTTGTCCCCATGAGCATGGCACAGTATTAAAGTAGGAGAGTTCTCTACGGAGCATAGAGGTTTGAATCCCCGTGGCAGTTGGTAGACAGATGTCTTAAGAAGGCAAAGTTATGGTGCGCTTTGTATCCCTTCCGGAGGTCTTGTCCGCATGTCATAAAAGGAGGTTCACAAGGAGGAGCACCGTATCCTGAATATCCTACCCGAGTGCGTATAAGTTATGACTGCATCTGAATTTACAGGGTGGCGAGCCAGGGCAAAGGCCGTCACTCTTCAACTTAGTCGGATGAAACTCGAACACCTGAGTCATCAAAAAAAGAGAAGAAAAAATTGTCGGCATCAAGGATATCAATATAAATGTATCGACCTATATCAATCAAAATAATAATTAGCCAAATAAATGGGACGTAATCCTAAATTAAATTTATTAGAGAAACCTGAAGTTTTTGGATTTACGGTCGGAATATCAAAGGGTGTATACTTATGCAAAATGAAAATGAAAAAAGTAAAGTCGTAATATAAAATGTACGACTCTTTACATAATAAATATTGCAAAAACTTGTATAAATGAATAAATTCGATGGTGAATGTAATCACCGGTCTCTACCTTGTTAGAGTGACAATGCATGAAATTTGATACACATATAATAAATATGATTATAGTTAACTTATCTTACATATAAATTTAATACTATTCATGAATTATTTAATATGCTTGAAACATAATTCAAGTGATATTATCATGAGAGGGAGTAAATACGCATTGTACTCTTTTTCTTTGACCAAGGTTTTGTCCTATTGAGTTTTCTAGACAATGTTTTTAATGATGCAACTTTTATAGTGTATTCAAAAGAATAATGTACTATTTTTCTTTTATTAGGATTTTTCCTAATAATGCTTTAATGAGGCATATTTTTTGTACAATGATATCCTTAACCTACAAAGCATTTACCCTAAAAAAATATACTCTTATATGTATGAGACTCTCGAAGAGATCAACAAGTGCTATTTTCGAATCATCATATTACTACAGTTGTTAAAAGATGATAATTTTTTTTTTATGAAGACGATGTTATCTGAAAACTATGGAAGATAACATGAGATATACTTTACTAGAAATTGTAATATTCAAGACATTGATGTACCAGATATGGATAGCTTTATACAAGAATTGAAATAAGGGAGAGTAGCTGTACTCTTTTCTCTTCGATCAAGTTTTGGTTCCTCTGGATTCTCTTGACAAGGTTTTAACGTGGCAGCATTTTATTACTCTAAATTATTTTTACTCTTTTTTCATTTGTTGGCATTTTTGTCTTATTAGGTTTTTTGTTTTTTTGTTTGCCAAACAAGTAGTATAAATAATCATCAAAGGGGCGTGTTGTAAAATAATGAAATAATTGGTGATGATTATTTAATATTATCATGATACATGAATAAGTTTTATTTAATCTAGAAAATCTATTTCATTCAAATTATAACTCTTATTTTGAACCCTATAAATATATGGCATTGATTCTTATTAATATACACAAATCTATTGTATTTTTTCCAAAAATTATTCCATTGGACCAAGTGGTCTAAGTCATGAAATGAGGTCATGAACATGCTCATTTGACAAACGCACCACCTTTGGCCCAACTTGTTAATGCCAACCGACCCAATTGACGATCCATGACTTATGGGTCAATTCGAAATCTCCAATTCTATCTTCAAACAGTCAAAATATACAATGCTATGATTGAACCAAGTCAAGCAGTAGTTATCTATAAACGGTCGGGATATCTCAACTGAATAGATCGAAGTAAACTCTAACTAAACACAAATCTCGAAGAATCTTCAATCCTATCTAGATAGTTATCCCACTTCTATAAATTCCATACATTGAGTCATCTTAAACTACTATTTATTATTTTCCATCTTAACACTCATACAACTATAGATGAGCTTTACTGTCTTGACTGTCGACGGGTCTTCGATTGGCACCACACCAATGTCCCTTTAAGATCTTTAATGATCCTTCTTTCTCATTCTACTTTCTTAAGTTTCACAAAATTGCTGGCAGCCCAATCAATTCGATTTCTTCAACTGCAGAACCTACCGTCAACACATTTTAATTGAATAAAATGTTCATGACCTTTACAGATTATCACATTTATGTCTCAAACTTTTTTCATTGCATTCTTATTCTCAAATTAACCAAAAGTGTTCCATATTATGATTTCTTACTGAAAACTTATAATACAAAAAAAAAAAAAATAATAATAATAATATAATAATAATAATAATAATAATAATAATAATAATAATAATAATAATAATAATAATAATAAATAAATAAATAAATAAATAAAAAGGAGAAGAAGAAGAAGAAAAATTTTGACCCTCATTTTAAAGTATGTAAACAATATTTTTGGATGAAAATCTTGATCAAAGACAATTTTCTAATCAATGAAATGTTGACAATAAGAATATGATGAAGAAAATATCAAGGATATAAGTATCATAATAAATAAAGGTTAGTGAGCTTTAATGTAATCCAAATGTGATGTATTTATATAAACAAATATTGTGTAAAATATAACCACTCCTTTACAAATATGCTGTGATAAATGACAGTAAAGGACCATTATACACCTAATTATAAAAATACCACATTATTATTATCTTTATCTTTTATTAATTTTTTTTAAACTAAATTGACCCTACTTTAGAAATGAACCCACGATAACTTGTATACTACAATGGAAATCCAAGAGAATAGAAATAAAAACCAAAAGCATAAAGCAAAATGCACTTCACAGTTGAAGGTGGAGAAAAATGGATTCACACTATCTCAATCTTAGCATGCCTGATCATTTTGAACCCAAACCCTATTTTGTTTATTGCATTAGTATTTATAATCGTTAAAATGATTTGTACTGACGAAGACAAAATCGTGAGGAAATGAATGGGAGACTGAGTTGGACTTTCTGTGGATGGAAGGAAATGTCGAAAAAATATGCAGCTCAGCTCCACGAACCAAAGAAAACTGTACAAATCCGGAGTAAATACTGATAACATTCAGTAAAGCCAATTCCCGAAACAAACAAAATGAGCCAACTTTAAGCAACTAAACCCAAGAAAACACATGTATCAACTTGCCACCATTTGAAATCAACAAGGACTTCATCAAACCTTATTGCACATTCACATACTGTAATTGGTAACAACAGAACTACACAACGTTTGCAATGAAGAGTTATCATGTCCCGGACCTGTCTTTGGTTTTAACCATTGGAGATAGATAAATTCAACCGAAAAGCAAAATTCAGTCATAGAGAGACTACATCAAACTTGTCGAATTAAATCATCCAAAGCACAGTCAACTGAAACATGAACTTGCAAAATTCTACGCTCGAGCAACAATAGAACTGAAAGATTCAAATTCCAAAACCAAACACTGCCCGTATTCTGTGGAAAATAAGATCTCGCCATCCCCTCTCAGTGTTTTCAACCACAGTCGAATTTCCATATCTACATTATCCAATAATTAACATCAGATCGCATATTTCTCTATTTAATATGTGCAACAATGGAAATTCAAACAACATAAACTGACCTGTCTTCTTCCGGTACATCAGTGTGTATGAGCTTGACGGTTGTGACTCCAGATTCAGGCTCCTCAAAAGTAAGGCGCACCTGTAGATGTATTGATACAATAAACAGATTCAAACTTAGCAGATTAAATATAATCATTTACGCAGCACTTTTCAAACACAATGAGGAGTTGCCAAAACTAATGTAACGACCCAGGCCTAGCATCCAGCCATTGTCTTACGTAATGTCCGCTCTAGAAAAGCCTGAGCTTATCTTATCCCTCACGAATTTTGATTGCTTCCCCAGAATTCAAACTTATGAAGAGAACTTAAGTTGAATCTTGGTACCAATTGGGCAACCAACACTCACCAATAAAGTCCAGCAGTTCAATTACAGGAGCTGTGGTTAACAGGCTTGTGGTAAGATCGGAGGCATACATTCGATAATAATTATGCAGCCCCAAGCTTACAAAAGGACACTTGCCCAAGCATCAATAGCTACACATATTGACACCACATGCTTCACATATGAACACGGAGAAATGATCATAACACAAATTCATATCTAGAATTCATTATAAACGATAATTTTAACTTATTAAAAATAACTGAAAACTCATTAAATGATCAGCAATGAATTTCTAACATACCTTGGACACAATGCCATCTGGCCAGCTCCCAAAACGCCAGTTCTGAACAATCAACTTGCCCTCTTGCAGCTCCACATTGGTTCCTGTCACTGACCCATCAAAAATACTGAACTCGCCTCCCACCTGCTTACTTATCCGCGCATTGCTCTGGGTGAAACCCTTCCACCGGTTCTCATCCATCAAAATCTCATATAAATCCCTCGCTCTACAACTGAACTTTTCACTCATTTTTATCGTCTTAAAACCCTCCTTCCTCTTTTCCTCTTTCTTCTTGCTCTCCTTCACACTCACATCTTTACTATTCCCAGAATTACCCACCACATTACTCGCAGCTGCAGTTGCAGTCGCCGCAGCAGCAGCAGAGGATGGTTTCTTTGCCCCAGCTTTCTTAACCTCCAATTCATCCTTAGCAGGCCCGCCTTTCGCCATGACATCCACATATTCTTGAACTTTCTCCAACACAAAAGGCTTCCCCTTTGCAATAAACGCGTCTTTCAGTCTCCTTCCGATAGGGCTATCATCCTTAATCGTTATCTTTATCTCAGGGTCTTCCCCCGCGTTCTCATCCGATATATAGGGAATTTCTACAGAACCCTCGGTGGATAAAATGATGGAAGTGCCATCCGAATCCCTCGCCTCGGCCTCGTAGGTGAGTATTAAATTGAGCTCATAGCCAGGGATGATTTTACCCTTTCGGACATTGAGGTAGGCCTCACCATCGAGCTTTTGGAGGGCTTTGGTGCGAAGGAAGAGGTTGCCATCGCCGGAGAGAATGGGCTTGTCAGATAGGAGGTTTGAAAGGTAATTTCGAGACCAATCGAGACAATCAGTCTCGGCCCAGTGCCAGTTGTGGACGTTGGTACCGTCAGGGCGGTCTTCAACGATCCACCGTTTGTCGCCGTCGCCCATCCGTGCCATTGTTGAAGTGTTTCTATAAAGGCGGCGCGTTTAGAGCTAGAAGGAAAGCAGAATTTTTGGGTAGGGTTTGTGAGGGTAGGATTCTAAAAGGATCTCTGGAGAAAAACTGAAATTTGATTTTGGAAAAAGAGGTCTACAGTCTTGAGTTGACTCATTTAGGGGAGTCTGGGATAATCCGGAGTCGATGCATTTAGGCCTAAAGAGTTGGAGTTGTCCAGGATCCATTTTAGCCCTTGTTTGAGGAGGCATTAATGGGAGATGGCCGATTGACCCGGCTATCTTTTCAAAATAGCCTTTGATCAAAATAATAAATAAAAAAAAAAAAAAAAAAAAAAAAAAAAAAAAAAAAAAAAAAAAAAAGCAAAAATGTTAAAAACCTAGGAAAGGAATGAAAAGTTAATTTTACCCTCCTCACTTTCAATCAAGAGAGAAATGAGAGGAACAGATACGATAGCAAATCTACATCCACCGACGACCCAAGAGGTGACCAAGAAGCGAAAAAAGGGAAAACCCAGGAGGTGACCAGTTCGCCATTTCTCTAAAGGTAAGCTTTTGATTTATGAAATTTTAGCATGTTTCCATATATAATGTTAAGAAATGTTGGTAAAAATGATTCTAGTTTGTAAATGTGGAGAAAGTTTTGTTGGAGAGAAAAAATGGTGGAGATCTTAAAAAATGGCGATCTCTGTCATATTTTTGGCCTAGTCAACTGGGCCGTCTGGAAAATCAAATCCAGACGGCCCAACTGGACGTCCAATATCCAAATGGCCCGGAATATTCTGGGCCGTCTAGAAATAGCTGGGCTGTTCGGATTTGGGATGTTTACACAATTACCCTATATTTCGGGACTGTTTTGAAAAAGCATGATAAAGTGGGATTAAATGGTAATTAGCTTGATTTTAACGTAAAAATACGTTCAAACCTAAAAACGTGCTACCAAAAGAACGAGCCTCCAAATTGGAAAAGTTGAGGGAAAATTGGAAGAAGAAAGGGATAAACTTCCACAAATTCGTTCATTATTCAAAACTTTGGAAAATTTTCAAGTTACTTCAACATTGAAATCTCTAAAAAAAAAAGATCGAAATAGGTGTTTTTTTTTTTAAATACGTTTTTGAATCATTTTTTAAAATAGTTCTACAATTTTGTTAACTTACTACGATGAATGATCGAAATAGAAGCAAAAATAACCAAATCTTTTCTCTGTATATGAAAAAAAATAAAAAAATTGATTGCTAATGCAACATTTGAAGTTTCTTTGAAGATTTATTGTGTTTAAGTATACGTATCAGCTCTTTGCATTAACGGATTTTGTATGTATGATATTATGTGTGAACGAGAATTGGTGTGTTTTGCTATTTACTATAGAATTTTGGTCACTTGTTAGCTTATAGCCTTATATGGATGTGTTTAGCTATTATCTCATACCAATCCAAGTCCTATTTTCTGGTAATATATATGTAAAGTTAGCTTTGAATCACTAAAAATGATGTATACAAGGTGTTTGACAAAAAGGAGAGTGTGAAAAATTGACATTCTATCACTTTTCTCAAAAAAAGTTGCAGCATCTCTTTTGGCCAAATAATTAGATGCATAAGTTGCATTTTTGGAAATTTGAAGATATATATTCAAGCCCTATTTTCTGGTAATACATATGAAAAGTTAGATTTGAATCACTTAAAATGATGCATACAAGGTGTTTGACAAAAGGAGAATGTGAAAAATTGACATTTTGTCACTTTTCTAAAAAAAAAGTCTCAACATCTCTTTTGACCAACTAACTAGATGCATACGTATGCATTTTTGAAAATTTGAAGATATATATTCAAGTCCTGTTTTTCTGGTAATACATATGAAAAAGAAAACTTTGAATCAAGTGTATTAATACATGCATGGTGTTTGATCAAGGAGAATGTGAAAAATTTAGATTCTCTTACTTTTCTTAGAAAAAGTCACATCATCTATTTCAGCCAAATAATTAAATGCATACATGTGCATTTTTGAAAATTTGAATATGCATATTCAAACACTATTTTCTGGTAATACATATGAAAAAGAAAATTTAGATTCTGTTACTTTCTCAGAAAAAGTCACAGCATCTATTTCGGCTAAATAATTAGATCCATACATGTGCATTTTTGAAAATTTGAATATCCATATTCAATCACTGTTTTCTGGTAATACATATGAAAAAGAAAACTTTAAATCAAGTGCATTGATGCATGTATGGTGTTTGATCAAGGATAATGTGAAAATTTGACATTTTGTCACTTTTTTCAGAAAAAGTCAAAGCATCTCTTTCGGCCAAATAATTAGATGCATACGTGTGCATTTTTGGAAATATTTGGAGATACATATTCAAAGCCTATTTTGGTGATACATATGAAAGGTTAGCTTTGAATCACTTAAAATGATACATACATGGTGTTTGACAAAAGGAGAATGTGAAAAATTGACATTTTGTCATTTTTTTCAGAAAAAATCACAATGTCTCTTTTGGTTAATTAATGCCACTTAAAAAAAAAACTCTCACATAACTTCTTTGTAATATTTTTGTGGGTACGGATAAAATTAATGTCTTCATTTGTTATGAATGCAAGTGGACACAAGATAATGAATATACAAGTAACAAAATGACTAGAATTGTTGTCTTGATGGATTACTCGTGCAACAACCTTGAGTGCATGATCTGTTCTGTGATGAAACTAAGTGTATTAACTCAGAGAGTAAAAATACAATATAGAGTGAAGAAAAACCTACCTTTAATGAAGATTTCAGGTGATATTTCACTAACATTTTATTTGGAGTTGAAGAGAAAGGATAAAGATCTTGCAAGCTTTCCATTGTGCGCAGATGTGACAATGGGATCAAAAAGTCACGAAGCTGAATTTGTTAATAATATACAATGTTTGGAGGTTGTTGATTACCAAAAAAGTGATATGATTCAATTGCAGTTTTGTGAAGCTGTAATTGATAATTCTATGATATCAATTAAAAAATTACTTAGTATGGAAGAAATTGTGGTTAGTGTATCGAAAGTTGGAGAAACGACGAATGAAGGAGGAAGTGATATCATTTCAGTAGTCACTATAGATAAAATTTTAAAAGATAAAGTGTTAAGGAACAAGACATTGGTTAAGATAAGTATTTCGATATATGTGATACACAATAACTTTCAATTTAAGGTAAGTAAGTTGGACAAGAAAGAATATGTGTTGAAGTGTATTGATGATAAGTGTAAATGGACTTTTAGAGCTTGAAGACTAGGTGGAATCGATATGTTCAAGGTTAGGTATATAAAAAAAGATCATATATGCTCAAATAACATCAGTTTGGGAGATCATCGTCAAGCAACCAGCTCAATAGTAGGAGAATTCATCATGTACAAGTATATCTCATCACAAACAACATACACTCCTGCAGACATTACAAATGACATGATGAATACATATGGAGTGTCGATGAGTTATGAGAAAGCTTGGAGATCTAAGGAGAAAGCATTGAAATTGGTGAGAGGAGATCCCACAGAGTCATATGAAAAGCTTATAGAATACTTGTATATAGTAGAACAAACAAATCCTGGACCAATTACAAAAATTAAGACATATCAGGACAACAAATTCAAGTACCTCTTCATTGCAATAGGAGCATCTATTCAAGGATAGAAGTATTGTAGACTAGTTATAGTAATAGATGCTACATTCTTACAAGGAAACTATGGCAAACACTTTTCACTGCATGTACACAAGATGCCAACAACAATATCTTCATATTAGCATTTGGAGTTGGTGATTTAGAAACCAATAATTCATGGAAATGGTTCTTAAATATGATAAAAGAAGCATATGGTAAGCGAAAAGGATTGTGTATAATCTCAAATGGATATGCAAGCATAAAAAATGCAATTCACAAAGTGTATGAGAATGTAATGCACAATTTATGTTCCTATCACTTACTTAAGAACTTGAAGTCATTCTTTGGTTGGAAAAAAGGGGAAAGAATATTGCAGAACATTTCAATTGGCTTATTCTAAGACTGATTTTGAGTTCCATATGAAACAACTTAATGAAATCAATACAGGGATTCGATCACATTTGATATGTTCTCATTGTTGGCTTCTATAATAATTGATGTCACTTTTTGTTTAAAAAGTAATATTGTGTCACTTCTCAACCAAAGAGTGACAGAATGTCAATGTTTGTTTAAAAAATTTGTATGTGTTGATACTTTTTATTAAAAGTGGGTTTAAACAAAAAAAGTGACATTCACTTTTCAACCAAAAAGTGACAGTATGTCACTTTTTTGTTAATAGTGACATGATATGTCATTTTTTATTTAAAAAGTTTGTATGTGTTAATACTTCTTGTGAAAAGTGATTCTAAAACATGATAGAAAGTCGCTTTTTCTATTTTCGATTAAATAAATATTAATATTTTGAATCTTCTTTGTGCAGAAAGATATTAGTTATGAGAAATGGTCAAGGGCTTACATGACAAACAACAGATTTTCTACAATGACTTCAAACATAGTTGAATTAGTAAATTCGGTAACAAAAACAATAAAAGGTTGTCCAATAGAACCTTCATTGAAATCGTTAAGATATTTGTTACAAGAATGGTTTGTGAAGCATATAAATGATGCACAGATAACCTTCACAACACTTGCCACCAAACAAGAGAAAAAACTGAGAGAAAAGTCTGTGGAGTTAAAGACAATGAAGGTAAAAAGCTATAAACTTGCTGTTTTGTTATTGTACATCAAGATATCTATTATAACATGATTTGTAGCCTCTATTCATATCGAATTTTCACTTTAAATCTTCATTTCATATAAAATAGTGACAAATTTATTGACAGATTATTTTGTTGTATTATGCACATAGGTATCAACTTCAAGTTTGATATTCTATCAAGTTAATGATGGTTGTGCCTCATATTTGGAAACATGGAAGAAAGAACATGCACATGCAACTAATTCTAAGTGGACAAGATTTCAAGTGCACATTCACTTGCGGTTATTGCAAAGATAAAGAGGGATTCACACACACACACACACATCAATTTTTTTACTGGGAGATCACAATGAGTGGAATGTATCAGATAAGGTAAAAGTAAGAATAGTCTTGGCTCCTAACCCAAAAAGAAAATTCGGACGA